ACTCGTACCAAGCATATTGAAATAGACCAGCACTTTATCAGGCAACAAATTGCTCGAAATCTTTTCAAAGTCCAACACGTACCCTCCATTCATCAAGTAGCTGACATCTTCACTAAACCGTTGCCTCAACAATTCTTCACCAAGTTGCAGTCTCAACTTCAAGTTTCTCCTGCCCCTACGCTTGAATTGAGGGGGGGTATTAGAGTAGCTAAATAATTATGTAATTATGCCTAAGTAAAAAGGCATCTTTTCTGTTTTGGTTTTGTACTGCATGCTCGTACTGCCAGCCTCTTGCTTGGCTCTTTCTGTGCATGTACCCCTTACACGTGCTCTAACCTCATTGGTAGCACATTAGGGTATTAGAGGTAGCTCATGTGTATAAAGGCTGTAGCTCATTGAGCAGTCATAATCAAGGAAAGATAAACTCACCTTTTCATGCACATCGTTTTCTTCAAGCTTTCTCTAATGGCTGCAAACTTTCCTTTTCTATCATAGACTATCGATGTTTCCGGTCCAGTCATGGTCTTGAATATGCATAGATTGAAAATCAGACCTTTGTGGTGTTGTTCTCTTAAAAAAACTTAGGTTTTATAGTAGACAACTTGTCAGTTAATTTTATCGAACTCTTTTAATATATTGCATAATTCTTCAGCAATAAGATATCCGTTATAAACTAAAATTAAACTTTATCAACTATCACCACGTAACTTTTTCTAGTAAATTTACCAAACATACCGAAATAAAAATCACCACCTCATTAAAAAGTGATTAGTTCATTAGTATGACTATTGCTTTTATTTTTTTCATTAGAAATTTGACCATGTTAACTTCACTGTAGTTCCGAAATTTGATGATTAATGCGCACGCCCCGTCATCTTTACCTCCAACTTGATGAAATTAAAAAAGAAAATGGTATTGTCACGTCTTACTTCATTTTCCTTTCTCATGCAGATCACCTAATAACCAAAAATGGAATAAAAGTACTTTGCGCGTTCTGCGTAGATATCAAACCGAGTCTACATTCCAAACGCCGGTCGATTGGGGGCCAGACAAGCAATCGGGCTTGGGTCACTGAAAGTTTTCACTACGGCCCTTTTTTCCTTGTTTTGGTGATGTGATGTGATTCAGTGTTTTGCTTTTGCTCCAAATTTGTGCTAAGTATTTAGAGGGATATTGGCATCTTTTTTCTTGAAATTTTTAGTGCACCACCATTGGTTTTACCTCTTTTTCGATATTTTTCTTCATGACAAGAATTTTAGAAAATGGTGGGATTATTTGTGCTCCCCGGTTACAAAAAGCTCAAATTCTCCACCATCATCTTTTTGGTTCTTTTCCATGATTCTTTGTGCTTTTTAAGCTTTTATGGGGGGAGATGATAAGGTAATTTGGAGGAGAAAACAAATTATGTTGTGCTCGACTCAATAAAGTCATGTCTAGGTTGAATATAGTGATGTCATTTCCCTTCNTTTTTTTTTTTTTTTAACTTATTTTCTTGTTAAGAAAATAAACTGTGTTTAGAAAGAAGAAGATCAATTACAAAAAATATCATTGGGGCTAAGTTCATATAATTAAGTTTTAGTTAAGTCAGATTGTTGTGTACGTGCAAAAAATATTAATGAATCAATCAAATTTAGTTGCTACACAAAGTAACAAAATAGTAGAAATTAGTGAAAACAAAATTAATTAATCGTGTAAATTTAAATTAATTATGGCAAGATTTGCTTGGTATTTATGTTATTTAATTTAATCTTTTGGCTGACCTGTAATGATGCAAAAGGCTCAACTCTAGTCCATGGATAGTATGTTAGATTTGTGTCGTATCACAAAATATCTACCTTTGCACAGTTACCCACCGGATATATATTGGCTATCAATGATATATTCTATAAAATATCACTACTCTTTTATATCCTGTCAAAAAATTTGATATTTTATATGAAAATTTGTATATTTAATTATTTATTGATAAAGCAAACCTGAAGGAGGCGTTATTTTAAGGGGAATTAAACATAGCATTAATGAATAAAAGTAGTATTTGGTACGCAAAAGAACTCCGATCGGCTGGATTCGGCCTGACTTCAAGCTCCTAGTTGTACTTCTTCTTACCAGCAAAAACTCTCACGCGGGAGGAGTTTCTCAGACAAGAGTCTCCGATGCTTAAGTTAGCACTATGTAGAAAATTAGATAGTCGAGAAGCTTATACATGGGATCGATGTCATTTTGCATGTCGGGCAATGTTCACTACTAGCACTAACGATTTTTGTAACAAGCTACTCGTTTCTAATTGAGGAATAGCAACCGAATAAGAAACGATACTATTTGTTCCTAATTATTCAGTAATAGAAACCAAATTTGTAATGGATTTGTCCATTCTTAATATCTTAATATAAGCGACAATTAATGACATAATGTTTCGTCTCTCATGCGACACGTTAAGTAATGACAAAATTAATTTTAAATAATTTTTTTTTTACTTCAAATGAATCGATTAATACCACCTACAATAAGAAGCAACATTAAAGAAATAAAATAAAACAAAATACAATAATTTTATTTCATCAGTACAATAATAAATTCAATTGATAAAACATAAAAGTACACAAAATAATATAAACTACTAATCATTTTATATCCTCAGATAAAATAGGAACTAATTTAATTAACATTTAAAGATGATCTTCCAGTTGAACTGGCCGAGCTTGTTCTTGTGCTGGTGAGATGAATCCGTCATCTATTGGCAGCTTATTCAAGTCAAGATGCATTAATGTTTCTTGTGCCGCTGAGATGAAGGCGTCGTATGTTTATTCAAGTCCAGATGCAATATGATGCCTCTTTCTCACAGTTACATTCTTCTGTCTGCTGTATATAATCATTAAATTATTCATCAGATCATATATTAGGGACAAGTTAAAAAAAAATAAAAAAATTGGACTTATAGTATCTATAATTTTTCTGCCTCAGTTCATCTAATAGCAAATATATTTGTGATAAGTTTTTTTTTTTAAAAAAAAAAAAACTTAAATTTGCACTTATCTTATTCATTTTCTATCCACTTCTCTAAAAAATTTACGTTACCTGATGGATTTAAGATTTATGGAGACTCTGGCGGATCCAATTCTATTTTCTTTGCTTGTTCAGTTATGATAGTCTTAAGTTAAATCGGAGTGATTTATGAGTTGGCTTCTTCAGTGCTTGTTCAGTTATGATAGTCTTAAGTTAAATCCGAGTGATTTATGGGTTGGCTTCTTCACTTGGGATAATCTTCAGTTAAATCGCAACAAGTGGTTTGTGGGTTGTAGTTTTAAGGTTGTAGGTGCAACTGTCATTCTCAATTATTTTTTACCCATTCCCAGTTATTTATTTACTTAACAATTATTAGGTGCAACTTACTAGTTATTTATCACCATTATGTTTAAAGTTTTTTGTTATAAAATAAATTATAAAAGTTAGCTTACAATATACAATTAACCTAGTTATTATATTTACAATAATTTAATATTATGAATATAACTATAATAATAAATTGTATAAGGAAATACTCACCAAAACGAAAGATACTACAAAGAAAATGATTATCATATATATGGTGACACATAGGATTAAAATATATCTTAGTCCATAGAGAAGAGTTGTAGAATAAACTAAATGATCTAGGAAAACTAAATATTCCATAGAGAAAAATTGCAAATGAAACTAAATCTTTAACTAAAAGAAGTATAAAAACTAAAATAATTCAAATAAAAAATAAATGTACCAAACAAAAAGCCGAAAAAGATCAATAAAACTAACACTCATAATTCAATAATTTCATTATAGTATTAAATATTATTTAAAAAAATTGTATCGTTTCGATTTCGTTCGGTTTTAAACTCATTTGATTAACACGAGATACTCATTCGAACTCATTCAAGCTCGAAAATAAAAATTAAATTAAATAAAATAACTTCATATTTTAGACTTTTTATAAAAAAAATATTATATATATAAACATAAAAAATAAAATAAAATTATATTAAATTAATGTTTGTGAACATTATTGAACGTTTTCGAACAAGCTCGAGTTTATTCAATTATTAAACGAACCTAGTTTTCTGTTTGATCTTGACTTGATTAACAAAAGAATGAGCTCTTATTGAGCACGGACGGTTTGTTATAATTTTATCTTTGTAACGTTTTTTAAAAGCGTCACAAACACATCAATTTCAAACAGATTTATTAAAAAAGTCACCATATTTGTAACATAGGGAGTTAGTTTTAAAATTAATTACTAATACAAATACAAGTGCTTAAAGTACATTTCGATTCTGAAAGTATATTCCGTATCTAAATTATTATTACTATTGTAACAACTAAAAATTTAGTTGCAAATAATTTGGATACTAATGTACCAATTTATAGTAGTGGTTTTACACGTTGGATTTCAAATCTAGGTAATAAAATATTGGTCGGACATGTAAGCGTCAATGATCTGTTACTAAAATTGGTGTATTATTTTACAAAAAATAAAAATATATAAAAGGCAATGATACTATACGCCAAAGTAAAAACATCACAAAATTGGTGTATTATTTTACAAAAAATAAAAATATATAAAAGGCAATGATACTATACGCCAAAGTAAAAAAATCGTGATGTTTGTGCAATTTTTAAAAAATGACCTTACATGCTGTCTATTTTGCCTTACAAATATCACTCAAATTGAAATTTACATATTTATGTAATTTGGCAGCATTACTAAGCATCATTTTTAAAATTATCCATTTTTATGTATGCACATGTATATATTGTTGTTATTCGAGAAGAAGCA